TGGCGAGGAAGAGTCGCAGCACCTTTTTATAAGAAAACATTAACGAAAGTGTGTGCTAATAACTAACTTACGTAAACTTCAAAATGTGAAATGTCAAAACATACTAAAACATGTATCAAGTTTTTAAGTTTTACTTTCACTTGAAAACTGCATTGCGGCAACATCTTAATTTTGATCGATGGTCGTTTTATAAAGACTTTTATTTACTATATATTTTTAAAATTTGTTCACTCGTTCATAGTGGCATAGCTTAGTGGTCAGCTCGCTGGCAGCTGACCTGAAGAGCCATGGTTCGAATCCTACCTATGGCATGTTTTCTTTTTAAATTCATTTTCGATTTTTTTAAAGTACGAAATAAAGATTATGTATAGAGATTATATACTTAACAAATGTAAAAATATTTTACACTTAAACAAACGAAAGGAAGAGAATTTTTAAAGAAAGCTTAAAAGTTCTAAAAACATCAAAAAACAGGAGAAATTTGTTGCGCTTAATTGTCATGTTATTTTAGTTTCACATTTACATTTCTCCAACTAAGTTGAGTTCGCGCAAGGAAAATGAGTATATAACATGTGTATATATAGAATATAAAATCTATAAAGTGCATTTAACAAAAAAAGCAAGCTGATGATTTGAACTTGCCACGCGGCGACCTGAATATTTAAAACAGTAAGGGGGTTTTAAAAATGTATTTTTATTAAAAAATATTTAAAATTTTTAAATTTAAGATAAATTATCTTATGAAATTTATTATTTTTTAAAATGAAAAAAAAATTAAAACTATCGATATTTAGGTAATAAAAATATTTATAGTTTTACAGCTAATTTACAACGCCCCTGTTAAATATTCTATACCGAGTGCGCAACAATCACAGAATTTAGAAAACCATCAAAATAGTATGATTCTCCGTATGTGATTGGAAGAGTCAACTTGAACACTTTAAACTGATCTGAACAAACTGCACGAGGCATTGCAAATGTTTACTCGGTAAGATTTTTGTATTTCTTGAAATGACATTGTATCTTCTATTATTGTTGTCATAAATGATATAATTATTGAATATACTTAAAAAAATAGCATGTATTTTTGCATCTGTTTTTAAAATTACGGAACTTTAAATTTCTAATGTTTTACTTAATGAAACATTCTGTTTTATAGGTGTTGTATTGATTCTTGACTGGCTGTTAATTTTATACAAGCTAAAGACGACCTTATTTTGAATATAAGTAAGTTTTTTTTTTATAATTAGTTTTATGTAATTTTATGTAAAATATTCAATCGTGTTTTATATGTATCTAAGTATTTAGTAAAGGAATATTTGCCAGTGTGACCGAGCGGACGACATTCTGAAATATCTATCGAGGTTTGAGTCCAATCGTTAGAACCTTCTCTTTTTTTTTTAAATTTTTTATTGGTTTTTTTAAAAATTCAAAAATAGAACACAATAAAAAGAGAACTATGAAATTGTTTTGTTTTGCTTTTTAATAGTTAAAGCTTTCCGCGACAAACTTTTTTTGAACACAGTCAGGGGGATAAAATAAGTTGTTTCTATTAAGAATATGAGTAAAAAATTTATTTTATATTTAAAATAAATCATTTTTTCCAACTTGGTTATTTTTAAAAATGATATAAAGTTAAAATAACCTAATCTTAAGATAATAAAAAAGTTTAAAGTTTCATATCTGCCCCCGTTAAACATTTTAAACCAAGTGCTCAACAATGACAATTCAGATAACTATCGAAATAGTATTATACTGTGTTTATAGTTTTGAAAGAGTCAGACCGCTATTAACTGGTTATGCACAAGGCATTTTAGATTTGCAAGCGGTAAGTTTTGTATTTCTTGAGATATCTTAGATTCTATTATCATATAAATGATATAATTGTTAAGTATGCTTTTATTTATATGTAGTATGTATTTGTTAATTTGTTTTTGAAGTTGCTAAAGATTTTAATGCTTTACTTAATGAAACAGTCTGTTTAGTAGGGGATGAATCTTGACAGGCTGTTAATTTTATAGAAGCTAATGTTGACCTTATTTTAAATATAAGTAAGTTGTTTTTTATTATTATTGGTTTTAAATAGTGTTAGATATTCAATCGTATTTTTTATGAATCTAATAATTTAGTAGAGTGTTATTGTCTGGAGGTGTTTGATATTCAGGTAAGATTTTATTAAGTTAATTTATTTTAAAAGAATCTTTTAAAATTTACTTATTAAAAATTTTACATTTGCGTTTTTTTCAATTCCAAATTTTGTTTCTATTTTTTTAATATTAAGTAAATTTTTGGTGAAAGATTCTGTTTCTGCATTAAACACTATCAAAATTTTAGTCAGTAGAACATGCAAAATATTGAAATGATTTGCTGCTGTGACTGTGTTTATGATTATCCACGGCAAGAAGGTATTTTATTGTCAGTTAAGATTTTGTGAATACTTTAAACTGCAGTTAATCTTTTTTATGTATTATAAATTATTTTGTATTACAAACTTTTTAAATTTTGTTATTTTATTTCTTTAGTTCTACTTTGGTACTTTAGCAACTATCATAAGTTTACTTGGTCTACTGTTAAATATGGTTTTAACTAAGTAAATTTTAATTATTTAAAATTTACTTTGTTGATCATTAGCTAATAGTTTATAAAGAATTTAGTCTGTTGCCATCAAGGTAAAAATAATTTTGTGTTTCAGTCAAATTACAAAATTTGTTTGCACTTATAGCTTTTATGTTTCGTTATTTTGTTTAATTGACTTTTTCATTAATTTTGTTATTAATTCCTTTTCATTTCAAATTTTGCCCGTTTTTAAAAATGCTATATAAAAATAGCAGCAGGCAAATTGGTTTGTAGTATTATTATATAAAGATTATTATATAAAGATGTTTTTAATTCTATCATATGATAATTTTTCATCGTAGATATATCTTACGATGCTTTTTCAGCATATTGCAGTTCGCGAGGCACATAAGTTGTGGGCCCGAATTTAGAGCAAAAGCTCGCTCTCCTCCGCCATTTTTTTTTCTTTTTCTTTCTCAATAAGGATCCTGTAAAAAATAAAATATGAGAAGGATCCTTAGTATGGATCCTGTAAAAAATAAAATATGAGAAGATAGCGGTGGGAAAATATTGCGCTATATCTTTAATTAGTATTTTTGTAGTTAGTTAATAATGCAGATGTAGTTGAATTTTTTTTTGTAAATAAAACTTTTATATATTTTGTTTCGTTATCATGTATAAATAAATTGATTTACAGTGGTGTTATTATTTCTTTTTTGAAAAAAACTTATTAGTTTGTGACATAGAATTGACTTGGTCGTTAAGTAGAATGCCAAGAATATATATGACGGTTATTGTTGATAAGGGTGATTAATAGGCAAGTATATTATAAACTAACTTTATATTGATTTTATTTGTAGACCTAATAAATAGGAAGATAACATAATTCAGGTAATTATTGTTTTCAGTTTTTCTCCCAATAGTTAATTAAAGTTTGATATCTTATATTAAAAAAATATGACCATTCGAGTAATTATGACGGTAATGTATATATTTAACATGTAAACTTCATGTTCTGTAATTAGTAATCAGTATTTTTATAAAGTAGATAATATAAATTTTTACAGATTTAATTTAACTTGAAAATTTCATCTCCTTATTTTATAGCATTTCATCTCCTTATTTTATAATTTCATCTCCTTATTTTATATGCCGTTTTATAAAGTTTAATAAGTCTTCTGTTTATGAAACAGTGTTAAAAGATAATACAGCATGCCAAAGTGGTTGAAATGCTTCGCTTGGGTTAAAATCCTTTCGCTTACACTCATAATTTTTTTAAATATTTTCCAAATTTCTAGAAAACAAAGTAAAACATTTTTAAAGGCCTATAAATATTATATGCATTACATTACATATATATAAAGATATTATATATTATAACAAACTAAAGGGAGAGAACTTTTTAAAACGCTGTGTAAAATTTCTAAAAACCTGAGAACACTGTTTGAAATTTGTTGCGCATATGTCATGGTAGTGATACTTTAGTTTTGGATAAATTAGTTTAGTCTGCGCATTTAAGAGACAACTTTTTCTCTAATAGAAAAAAAGTTTTACATGCAAACTGAAATTTTCTTGAAAATTAACTGGGCAAGAGTCCTAACAAGTATCGGATGGTATGAAAAAAAAATTATAGTCTGAAACTTAATAAAAAAAAACTTCACACAAACAGAAAACCCAAAAATGCTAAAATTACGTCATAACTTTAGTTCCGCCAAATCCGGTAATAGGAATGCTCAAATATAAAATAGAAATATTAAATGATTTTTGTATTTCGATATATGCGCCAACTCTTAAACGACTGTAAAACTACCTTGCGGTTATCTAAATAAATCCACCAAATCCGATAATAAAAACAGCTCAATTAATAGATTTAAAAATCATCTGATTTTTGCATTATGATATGTGCGCCAACTGTACTCTAAAACCACTAAAACTTGGCCATGCTTTCTCTCATTCAAATCGATTATACAACAAGGAACTGCAAACTAAAATACAGCAAAGAACTACAAGTAAGTTTCATCTCTATCGTTTACAAGTTTACTTATTTTAATCATCCATTTAAAAAATTAATCTTAATTCGGAACTAATAAAGTTATTATGCTTTTGACACAAGAATAAACATTTAGATTATATTTTAGAAATGAGCAGCCAAAATACAGAAGGTTAGAGTATTCTTTTTATTTTATATAAAATTAATAAATTAAAGAGATAGAAAGAGATGATACGAAAATAATGTTGAAATATTTAGTTTATTATTTTATCAAGAGATTATATATAGATAAATTTGTATGTCTTTAGGCGACGAAGAAGTTTCAGAATTTTTTAGAAGTAAGCCACAATATAATTATACTATATACTACGTATAGTTGCAGTCATGGCTCCCCACAAAGGGAGGTGCAGTTGGTACTCTAGCACTAGGATCCGGAGATAAATGGGGTTCGGCT